AGAGAGAGAGAGGGAGAGAGAGAGATAGGCAGACAGGGGGGGGGGGGAAGAGAGAGAGAGAGAGAGAGAGAGAAAAAAAAAGAAAAAGAGAGAAAGAGAGAGAGAGAGAGAGAGAGAGAGGGAGAGAGAGAGAGAGAGGAGAGAGAGGGAGTGAGAGAGAGAGAGAGAGAGGGAGAGAGAGAGAGAGAGAGAGAGAGAGAGAGAGAGAACAAAGAGAACTGCTATCAGCGGGCGCCTTACCTCGGAAGACGCCGTTCCAAATGACGCACGGAGAACTTGCCTATGATGGGGGGTCGCGTAGCCCAGCTCTGAACGAGTTGAATGCGCCGGGTGCGAAATTCGAGTTGGGGGCCCGAAAAATTCTAAGTGTGCCTGGGGGGACTTCTTCGACGTCGGGCGCGGGTGCGACCCCTCCCTGTCCGTGGCCTTGCTGGCCATCGCAACCCACCCAGCTTTTCTACTTCGCAGGCCCCCGGGATGCGCTTTGCCTGAGCACCAGTAGTAAGAGGCTCTCGAACTTCCTCTGGATGTCCAAATGCCGGCCAGAGCCCGAGGAACGGGGGGGGGCCCAGGCCGCCGCCCGATATTCAACGCTCTACCCTGCGATGAGCGCCGTCTCGGAGAACCGCGCGGGGCCCCGGATAACGATCTTGCTCGCGCATGTGGCCCCCCAAGAACACCTCCCCCTTCTTCCGAGACTGCTTCGGCCAGGCGGTCTGGATCCCGCGGGGGAACAGCGTGAACTCTTATTTCGATATGTTCAACCCGAAGCCCACGGGGGCCGCCCTATTGTTCAATGGGCAGTCGTGATTCTTCAGTTTAGCTGTAATTTGAATGAGAAGTGTGTGGCAGTCAGCCAGGACAATCGCATGCATGGCGTCGGCGTGCTTCACATGGCTGAGGTCGGCCTTGAGACTCGCGCACTCGGCCGTAGGTTCTGCGCGATAGACGTCCGTCTGTGCCGCGCCTCCTCGCTGGTCGGCCATCGACTCTCGAGACGTGGCGTTGAAAGCCTGCGCAACGAACGGATCGCCCATGACCCATGAGCGATCCCTGTCGGGTTCTCATGACCACCCGAACTCCCTCCTCAGCAGGTAGGGCAACTACTGCATCTCGATGGCGGAGGCGAGCAAATCCTGGCCCTCGTCCTCGTCAGACGCGCATTGCTGCGCGGCCTATCCCAACTGTGGCCGGCAACCACATGCAATAACAATTTTCGTATTTTTGAAACAAAACCTGCGGGTCCCACGTGCTTTCCGACGGCGATGAGAGATCGCGTCTGCAACCGAAATCGCCGTCTGCCACCCCTTCCTCTCAGGAGCCCGTGGTCGGATCCACGGGCGCATGCTGTGGTATCTTGGCGAAACAAGCCACGCCTAGCATGGGCCGCTCGCTTGCGCTGGTGGCCCATTTTGTGGTTCTTGCAGAGAGGGGCACCTAGGATACAACGCCGATTAATCTGGGTCGTTTGTGTCGTCGCAATTGCGCAAGCCGAAATTCATGGAGAACTGGGAGACCGTGTCGTGGGGCGCCGCCGTCTCGGGGCATGTTTGATACACCTCCTCATCTCGCCTGCGTCCTCCTTCGCCTTCTCATCGACCTCCTCTTCCTTTACCGGGTCATTGTCCTCGTCGTGATCCTCCTTCCACACCTCCCAATCCCATGGTGCAACACTCTATTCCACCCTCCTTGCCCCCCACATTCCGTTTATCTATCCAAACCTACGCCGATGGCGTGCGTGCGCCGGCCAGGCGCCCATCCCGCTTCTTGGGCCCGGAACGGCAGGCTGCCGCGCGTCTTGACCCCGTCTTCACTTTAGAAATGTGGCGATGCTGCAAATGCTCCGTCGCCTCCTCCGCGAATCGGTCACGGCGGCGCCGTGCTGCTCGGCGGCGCGGCCGGCGTTCTCTGGCGGGTGCGTCGGGCACTCGGGCGCCCATGCCCTCGATGTGCTTGAGGCTCGCAGGCATATTGTGCCAGCGAAACTCCACGCGTTCACTGAGCAATCATCGCCCCTGCTCGGTGTGCACACTATACTCTACATCCGTGGATTATACCTGGGTCCAAATTTCCCTGTCCAACAATGGACAGGGCACTTCCGTGCGCTCACGCGCGCGCATGTGTGTATACATACATATATATATATGTCCCACCCGTTTCTTCACCACAGATGGTTCGATCTATATGGAGAACGGCGGGCTGGCCGGCGGGCTCCACCATGAAGCACGTGCTTGAAGTGACCAGCAGATCATTAACATAATCTTTGCATACAGGAGGAGGGGGGGGAGGAGGAGAGCTTGAGATGAATGCCAGCGGACAGTGGCATTGACGGCAAACGGGATGGCAGGACACGGAAGTTTGAAAACGCCGCCATGTCCCACCCGTTTCTTCACCAGAGATGGTTCGATCTATATGGAGAACGGCGGGCTGGCCGGCGGGCTCCACCATGAAGCACGTGCTTGAAGTGACCGAAGACCCAAACCTGGCCTCTGGCCGGCACGTGTCAATTACACACACGGGACAAGTTCTCGAGATGAATCCGATCCGCAGCACGCGACAGCCATCGGGCCATCGCACGGGCCGCGGAGGGCGGGCACGGCTCGGCAATGGAAGTCCAGCGCCGCCCGCAAGGGGCTTTACCCTCGAGGGAAATGTGAGGGCGGCCAGAGAATGAGCACCTGACCCCGACGCTATGGCACCGGCGGGTCAGCGCCTCAGGGGCTGCGCCGCAGTGCCACGACGCCAGGCGGGTGCTTTTTCTCCACCGCGTCCCGCGAGCGCAAAAGTCAAAGACGGTAGTTTTGCAAGACGGCAAGGTGAGCAAGTGAGAAAGTAGGGGCTCTTGCCACATCAGACTGGACATAGGGTTCTCGAGTGCAACAGGCATTCCTCTCTTGAGGCAGGCGGTGACTATCAGTAGGGAGTGCTTCAACAGAACATTTCCGAGTTGGGCACGGGCAAAACCTGTGGGATCGAGATCTGGGTGCCCGTAAATATGAAGAGGCGATCTGTGTCTACCACGGCTGGCCACTGACCAGGTGCTGCAGGGTGGCGCGATCCATATGCCGCGCGCAGCACCATATCCGATCCAACCTATGAGGATACGAACGAGACGGATGTCAGACAAATCAAGCCAAGGATCAGACCTAATATCGATAGAGACGACACCATATTCAGTACACGATCGAATTTTGCTAGCCACACTGCCGTCACCGGCGAAAAGATCTAGAAACACCTGAGCACGATTGCGGCCTTTGCGGGCTGCATCAAACAACTTCTGCATGCGCTTGCGGAGGGATGAGAGGGGCAAGGAATCAGTGGGCTGATATGTGTCACCTGCTGGCCTCTTGCTCACCGCGGCTTGTCGGGGCGCCGCGGGCGGGGCGGCAGGCGGCTTCGGCCTTGGAGCGTCAAAGCCCACTGGTCTGCCACCGCGGCGCCGAAGGCCTTGACCGACTCTGGCGCCAGCTCCAGCTCCGCGGTGTACCGAGCGGCTCGGCTGCACCGCTGGATGCTGGTCGCGCTGGCGTGCCGAAGACGGGCTTGCACAGCCTCGAGGCTCCGCGTCCCGCTGGCGATGTCCCAGCTCGCCGAACCGTGTCGCACCCGATATGGGTGCGGGTCCTTCAGGTTGATCATCTCCGCGTACTTCTTGAAGAGCTGGCCGAAGCGCCTGGCGTCGAGGTCCCACAGGGGTGCCTGGGCTGGGCGCTCCCGTAGGCGCGCCAGGGCAGGGCCGAGGGCCTTGGAGCCTGCCGGCGTGAGCTGGACCCCCTCGTCGAACTGCTTCCCTTTGCTGCGCAGGCCGGTCTCCTCTGGGTACAGCAGCAGGCTCCACGCGTAGATCTCCATGCGGGGCTGCGGCGGCACGAGGGACGGGCTTCGCAACTGCATCAGGTCGCTGGGTAGGCGGAGGGCGGTGTCCCACGCCAAGCTGAGGGCCTCTGCGAACCCCGACTCGCCGTCCAGCATCGCCAGCCCTATCAGGCAGAAGACCGCCTCGCGGACCAGCGGCTGGCGTGTGCAGGCCGGGGCGAGCAGGCGGAAGCCCTTCAGGGCGGCCCTGCTGGCCGCCAGCTCGGCCTCGCCCACCGCCGCGGGGCGGAAGTGCCGGACGGCCGCGATCGTCTTCGACGCGACGTCCGACGGCATCCCGTCGAAGTAGAGCACGTCCATGTACTCGCTGATGGCCTTGTCGATCTCGCTGGCGGTCTGAACTGGCACGGCATGCGTCTGGCACCAGTTGTCGAAGTTCCGGTACGAGGTCGCGAAGTGCACGTTGGACGAGGCCCTGATCTTGCGCGCCTGCAGGTACGTGAGCGTTGTCCCGGTCGGCTGCACCAAGGTAGTGGCGCGTGCCGTCCTGGTCCGCTCGGCCGCCAACCTCGCCCTCCTCGCTGTAGCTCGCTCCGCTGGGGCTGGAGTCGCTCGAGCTGGCCGTGGGCTCCGACTCCGAGTCGCTGTCCGAGGAGTCGTTCGGCTGCACGCCGATGCCCCCCCCGGTGGAGCCCGAAGCCCCCGGCCAGTGCCGCGGGCGCCGCGGCGTCGCCGAGGCCGGCAAGGCCTGGGTCGCGCCGCCGCGGGCGCCCTTCCGCGGCGAGCTCCTCCGCAGCGGCTCGCCATAGCGAGCCATCGTCGGGCTCTGGTGCAGGGCGGCCTCCGAAAGAGCGGAGGTCAAGGCGGGCGTCCTGAGCCCTGGCTGCTGGGAGTCTCGACGGGGCGTCTGCTGGATTCAACTCTGAAGGGATCCACCGCACTGTGATATCGATGTTGGCGAAGATGGGGATCGCAGCAAGCCGACGAAGCACGAGGTTAAGCGACGGCACCGAAGATCTTCCCTTCCCCGATGCGAGCACCAGCCCCACGTTGTCGCATAGCAGCAGCAGGCGACGCCCATGGTTGGCAGTGTTGCGAACGAAATGGCGGACCCCCATGACCAGAGCCTCCCCCTCCAGGATAACGATGTCGGCGGCCCTGTTAAACCGTCCATAGAAACAAACCTTCCAGTCTTCTTGAGAACCCAATATACTCTTACCAATCTCGAAAAACTTCTGCTCCTCCTCCCAAGTGATGACGTAGCGATGTGGCGGCGGCGTCGATGATGAAGGCTCGTTGGCATACTCTCCCATCCCAGATGGCGGTGCGTGGTGATACTTCACAGGAGCAGGATGATTCTGCGCAGCAGCATCGCGAGGATCATCCTTGAGGCCGAGCGCTGATGCCCGAGCCCCTAGAAAGTCGAGAGTCTTGAATCTCCACTTCTCGCTGAGCTGAAGAGCGGCGGCCACGGCGCAGCGAGGGACTTCGCGGCTGACCACGCCGAAGCCCCCGTGGTCGCCAGCGGCGGCCGACTCGAGCCCTGGCGGCGCCAAGTCTGGGTCGAAACTGCGGGCCTGCCGGGCGCCGCCAGAGGCATCGGTAGCCAGGACAGTGGCGGCGACAGGCCGACGCAAATCTACGCAGGCCATCGCCACCAGTGCCGCGCCCAGCCTGAGCTCGTGGCGTACAGTAGCCCAAGGCCGCCGCGCCATGTCCCCAGCCTTCTCCGCGAAGGAGTAGCAGGCGGCGAAGACGGACAGCAGTGGCCTCCTCAGCATGGCTGCCCAGGTGTAGTGCCCCAGGAGCATGCGCATCTGCACGCCGGTGAGCTAGTCGGCCTCGGCGGCATACTGGAAAACCCGTCGGATCCTCCAGATCCGACTGCGCGAGAGGGAGATCCGCCCGGACCCCTTCTCGAAGATGAGCCCGGTGAACGGCTGCTCGTCCTGTGGCAGCTCCATGTCCTTTGTGACCAGGCCCACTGCGAGGAGGGATTCGGCGATCGTGCGACAGTCCTGCACGGTCTGCGCGCTCTGCGTGCCAATCACTGCGACTCCGTCGACGTACACCGCGGCAGCGGTCTGGCCGACCAGGGATGGAGTCGCCCGCTTGTCTTCAATAATACGGGGCGGCGGGTAACCAGCACGCTGCGCGCACTGGGTGACCATGTCTTGGCAAAAAAACAGTGACCAGTTCCAACCCATGGGCAGAACGATGAGCAAGGGAGAACATGTCAGGCCCCCGCCGATGGCGATGTCTGGCCGAAGTCGGCGAAGGGCACCGCAGTCCAGCGGGGGCAAGACGCAAACTTCCTCCATCCCGGGAGGTGCACGCATGCGGTAGAAGCAAGCCTCCACGTCAACTTGCGAGAGGCACAGCTCGTCATTCGGCTCCAAGAGTAACCCCTTCCAGCAGCCAGCCGTGGGCAGCGCCGTGTGCGCAGGAGGCTCGAAGAGCTGGTTGACCCGACGCGTGTCAAAGATGAGCCGCAACTTCCCATCAGACTTGGGGACGAAAAATATACCGAGAGTAGATTCACGCAATGAGCCGAACTTCACCAGCCCGGCATCGTACAAGTCAGCCACGAAGGAGGCGTAGCTGGACTTGCTCTGCATCAGCTTCGCGTCGCAATGAGGCTTCACGGCGGAGACATCTGGGCTCTTCCGCAACAACCGTTGCTGCCAATCCTCCCAAAGGTCGAGCGCCTCGCCCTGCAGGATGCTGGCGCCGTCGCACTTGGCGCCGGGCGAGGGCAGCGCGACGAGGTCGCGCTGGAAGGCGGCTGGCTTCACCGGCATCGATGTGTAGCCGGGCTTGCTGGCGCACAGCTCCTTGAAGGCTGCCGCGCCGGTGATGGTAGGAGCCCCGATACTTTGAACAGCAGCTCGCACATGGTCAGAACCAAAACTTTGCCCTAGAGTGGGCGGGCATCCAGGATCAGCGCCCCCTCGCCCGTGGAGGCAGTTCAGCGCCTGATGCACCTCCATGCTCCACCCGTCGACATGCCGGTGGCGGAGTAGACGAGACCGCACCGCGCGACAGCACGAGCTGGGATGCCCGCTGCTGCCGAGGGGCGCCTGCGGGAGCGGCGCTGGAAGCAGCTCCCGAGGCGCGGGCATGGCGCTGTCACTTGGCGCCGCGGCCGCCGGTATCGCGGCCGCCGGCGGGGTCTCCCTTGCCCCCTTGCTGCTGAAGCCGGCGAAGCTCCGCAGCCTGACTCTCGACCTTCTTGCGAAGGCTCTCCTTCGTGTCGCCGTCGGCGCCAGTGCCCTTCGCGAGCTGGCGCTCCTCCCTCAACTTCCTCTTCTCCTTCATCACCTGGCTCTCCCGGTGCAGCTCCGTCGAGATGTGCTCCACCAGGAAAGGGGCCATCATGATGAGGCCCCTCGTCTCCCCCGTGCCCATGTAGAGATGCTCGTCCTCCGCCGTCTCATCGGCCCGGCGGGGCGCTAGGCGGTCGCGGTATCGCCACTCCGCCATCTGCGCCCGCCGGGCCAAGAGCTCGAAGCTCACGAGCTCTCCAACGTTCACCTGATCGTACACGAGACCGAACTCGAAGGCCCGCATGGCAACTTCATGATCAGCCACCCCCGGGTCCGACTGCGTGAGCCCCGTCTCGTGCAACCACTTGGTGTGGCGGGCCCGGGGGTGGCTGTCCTGCTCCGCGATGAAACGGACGCACCAGGCCGCCGTACGCGGCCCCAGGAGCGGCCACCCCGGCCACGGGCTCTCCGTGACCTCCTGCACGGCGTCCCTGAACAGCTTCTTGCGGATCCCGCTGCTGTCCTTCGCCATGGCCAGCAGGCGGTCGTCGCGGATCACCTGCACGACGCCATCCTTCGGGTCGAGGGCCCTGAGGGTGTACACGCCGGTGCCGACCACAGCGATGGCCATGTCATCCGAGCGCGCGAACTCGTCCACCGTGGTGTGGGGGAAGAGGCCGTCGATCTCGGACTTGTTGGGCCCAGCCGTGACGTACCAGCGCAGTGGCTTCACGTCCGGGAGCCGTTCACTCCCAGTCACTATATCCACCAAATCCGTAGGTGTCTGCGCTGCTGCCCCCGTCGGAGGAAGCGGACCCTTCTTGGACATCCTGCGCTCGGGCTGGAGCTGTGGGGCCACCGCCTCCATCGCGTCCACCAACTCGAGCGCGGTGGGCACCCACTCGGAACCGTACACCGGTCTCCCGCCCCGGCGGAACCCAGACCTCAACAGCACGCTCCCGTCGTTGTCCAGAAGCTCGTAGCCGCGCAGGTCCGGGGCGTCCACCAGCACTGGGTAGACGTCGAGGTCCGGGCTCAGACGGTACCAGATCTTGCCGTCTGACTCCTGCTGAGCGCTCGCCTCTATCTCCATGATATCGCTGAGATCCTTCCGTGTGGCTGGACCAACGACGATGCGGGCTTGCCAGGTCCCGCCCCCTCCCCGCTGTAGGTTGAGGCGGCGCCCGACTCGCAGAGCACAGCTGGACATAGCAGCACGTACGCAGCACACCCACCAAGAAGCCGAAGGTCGCGACCAACAGCAGTGCAGCAGGAGCCCACTGTGCGCCCAACTCCAGCACTGCGCAGTCCGTCACTTGCTGCGCGAGGCTGCTGAGCCCCCCTGCAGCTCCGATGAATCCGCTGAAGTTCGACCCGACTATGGCTCCGAGCGAAGTGACTAGGCCTCCCAGTCGGGAGTACATGTGCCGGCCGTCGAAAAAAAGAGCTTGAGATGAATGCCAGCGGACAGTGGCATTGACGGCAAACGGGATGGCAGGACACGGAAGTTTGAAAACGCCGCCATATATATATATATATATATATATAAACATAAAACTATACGGTAAACTACTGATATTAATCGATGGCGTCGCGATGACGAAGCCAAACGGGGTTGGTATCATTGACTCTCGAACTGTTCGAGAACATCTATGCGTCTCGGGCCGCTGTAATGCCAACGTGAAAGCGTCCCGATCCCACATGGTCCGCCCCTCCTCGGCGTCCAGGAACTGGCCGCCCTCATTATCCGCAAGGGTTTCGCCCCCTGCCGCCGGCCCCCTCTCTCGGATAATGTGCTGTGCTGTGATGAGGCCTGTTCGCTGTCGTGAACCAGTATCGGAACTTCACGCGAGGCCGACTCGTATTGCACATAACCAATAAATGACCAGAGGGGGTACCACACCTGGCGATTGGTAAGACGTCGTGACCCTGCCGATTTGCGTGAGAAGTGCCGCCGGATTTCAGGCACGTGGCAAATCCCCCGTGTTTTTGGACCCTGACCCCGCCGATCTGGGGGGTGCCACGGAATTCCAAAAATGTTGCAAATCCCTTGTGTTTTTGGACCCTGACCCCGCCGATCTGCGTGAGGGGTTCCCCCCGACTTTTGAAATGTGGCAAGTCTCTTGTGTTTTTGGACCCTGGCCCCGCCGATTTGCGCGATGGGGTGCCAGCGAATTTCCAAAAAGTTTGGATCCTTTGTGTTTTTGGACCCTGACCTCGCCGATATGCGTGAGGGGTGCCACTGTGGCAGGTCCCTTGTGTTTTTGGACCCTGACCCCGCCGATCTGCGTGAGGGGTGCCACCGGATTCTAGAAATGTGGCGAATTCCCTGTGTTTTTGGATCCGGACCCCGCCGATCTGCGTGAGGGGCGCCACCGAATTTCAAACATGTGGCAAATCCCATGTGTTTTTGGATCCGACCCCGCCGATCTGCGTGAAGGGTGCCACCGGATTTCAGAAATGTTGCAAATCCCTTGTGTTTTTGGACCCTGCCCCCGCCGATCTGCGTGAGAGGAGGTGCTAATTTTTACACCCGCAAGAATTCTCAGAACCCTCCCAGGGCGCGGAACAAATATCGTTTTGGGCCTTCCCCCCCCCTCGCGCGGTCCATCGCCCAGGAACAGTAAGCAGCAAGACGTCAACAAGGAACAATAAGCAACAATAGGCAGAACTGTAACAGTGGAGTTTGGAAGTTGCAGCTGGCACACGAAACTGCGAACTCCTGGCCTGCAGCCTGGTGGCCCCGCAAGGGGGCTGGCGGATATACCATCGTCAGAACCAGTAGTAAATGATCACGCGGTCGTGGTCCTCGGAGTGGTTGCAGGTGTGGCACCGAACTTTCCCACCACACTGCAAGAAGGCATAAAAATAATACAATCAAGCGGGACATCCAATGACATTGATGCGCGAGCAACCCAGCAACCCAAAGGATTGTGGAAGGTCGGCATCACGTTTTTGACATCACTGTTGGTCGCCCACATTCGATGTACCTCCAATGTTTCACGCAGAGACGGTCCTCCTCCTCGCTGTCGTCGCACAGGGTTGTCAACTCCAACGGCCTCACTCTCGCTATATTTCTTGTAATTATCACTGTAGGCCGTCCCCATGCCGTCGTTCAGGCCCGTGTAGAAAATTTGCTTCCTTCGTGCAGGAAGTGCGTGAAATATACCTTGGATCCATTTCGCGACGACGCCTGCCGTGCGAAAAAACGCTCCCCGCTTGCCCCGAAAAGCATGCTCTGGCGGGCCGTATGCGCATACCGCATAGACCACCCTTCGGGTGATAAGGAGGTGAGGGGGGGGGAGGGACCAACGTCGCACTCGATTGATCTCACTATCGCACTCACCACCGATCGCACAATCGATCTCAATCGATAGGTCTCACAATCGATCTGACAATCGATCTCACAATCAATCTCACAATCGATCCCAGAATCGATCTCACATTCGGTATACCTAGTGATCTCACAATCGATATCACAATCGATCTAACATTCGATCTGACTATCGAGCTCACTATCAAACTCCCGTTCGATCTCATTATCGCTCTCA